TTGAAGGTGCAGCTTTAATATGTGTCTAAAATATTCGAAACTAAATACTGCATACCGGGAAATTTCACCCTTCACATTTGCTTACTATGTTTATCATGCTGATTATTATATATTTGCGTTGATGATAAATTCGCCCTCATTACGGCGGGAGAAAACGGCGAAAATTGCCCGGTATACATAATGTAGAAAAACAGTGTATGGGACAGATTATTAAGATAGCGTTTACCTCACTGAAACATACTACCGCAGATACACCCAGCAAGACACCCCAACCGGTCACATGATACTGACAACGGGCAAACAAGTCGTGCCACTCCTAAATTGCTGAGCGTTGAGCAGGGGTAGAAACTACCACTTTTACAGACTCTGGTATGTCTCGACCAGGGGACAGAACCCAAAGCCTCTTTACAGGGGCGAACGCTCAACTAAAGGCAAAAAGTGAGGCATTGTCAAGGGAGACATTAGGAAGAAGAAAGTTTTTTAGAAAGAAGAGAAAATGAAAAGATCCCAAATGTGTTCGCCTCTTACGATCATTCAATGGGGGCAGCAGGTACAATTCTTACGCCCTACCTGCAGGGACAGGTGAGTAAGATACCAATCTTGGTAGATAATGATAACAAGATCCCTTTAACATTTCATCAGAGAAAAGGGCACTCGGCCAATACAGAGGTCGTGATAGGATTATCAACCTATTGATTATCTGTATATATATATCAGAGTGTCATATGTCTGGGTGTCATGCTATACCGTGCCCTTATTTCAATGAGACGGGATTTTAAACTTGCCTTTAAATTGACATGTTGTTGTCACCTTCTCAATTATTATCTTACCGACGGAAAGAAGCAAAACACAGTCAATTATACATTTGAAACGAGGAATGTTTTCTTGACATCGTGGGTGGTTGTTAAACATTTACAAAATTTGTCTTTAAAATTGACAAAATAAGTCTTTTCAAATTACTGAAATTCACCAAAATTACTCACGGGGAGATTTTATAGGAAAACCGTTATTTTGTGATATCTTGATTACAATGAACGATGTGTCATGCATGTTAAATAGAGGATTATACCCCCTCCCCTTAGGAGCTAGAGCATGGGGTTACAACATCGGGGAATTAGCTAAATTCCACACATGTCAAGTTTTAGAAATTCTAGGTATTATTTGTAATAGTAATAATAATATACAACATTTATATGACGCCCTATATGATTTGTAAAATTACTCTAAAGCGCTTTACAACATATGGATAATAGTTGCTATAATTGTTAAACAAAAAAGGCTTATATTTCATAAACAATTCGTTTGCTTTTGATAAATTGTGACATCTTTTACACATTTTAACCTTTTGTTTCTGGTTTTGAAGTGTTCCTTTTTTGTGAATGTCTATTTTTCCATTGTTGTTTGACTTTAAATGCGTGGATGTCATAACTGTTTCTGAGGAGGGAGGGTGGTTGGTATGGTTTTAAAGGAGGAAAGCTATTTACATATTAAGGGCAAATCTTTCGAATGGAATATGGTAAGAAGCTTTCATACGCAAAGGGAAGCGTAAAAAGGGACTCTAATCCCCTCCACTCAACCCAGTGTACAGTGGGCTGGGCCTTTCAGAGAGCAGTGTAAAAAATATTCGATAGTTCCAGACGAACAAACAGCTACTCGTTATGATGTAAATATCATTAAAGTGGTTTATGAGAATAATACATTTTATTACAGATTGGTTCCCTATTTGCCTCGTAGGGATGACGGGAGTCCATTGTAATTACTGCAGTGACGTCTAAGCGGTGTAAATCCCGTTGTGGTGATAGGCAAAGTTCAATCGTCGGGGGCAAGCTGTGTCGGACCTGTAATCAGCTGATAACATACTAATCTCGGGGAACAACCGGGTACAATTGTGTTTGTTAATGTCACAATTTGTGATAGATGTGTGCATGTTTACACGCAATAGATGAACGAACATTTATAAATCACTACTGATCTGTAACAGAAAGCACACTATTTACTTTTATTCTTTTTTTTCTGCCTCCCCAAAACACATATTTCAGTGACACTAGGTCTAAAGCGTAATTGAGTTATGAAATAAATTATAAGGAATTGGAGCTAATGAAAAAGTTGAAATTGAACAATGTTGTCATAACTCTTTCGTACGTTTAAGTATGTGCTTTATAGGTGTGATATATACAGTCGCGAGAGAACACCTCGTTCTCGGTGGCTTTCCGTACTTGCTGACCATGAACCCTCATTGGTTAATTTGCATTTCTCCACATACCACTGTAGATGTCCTCACTCCCGCTCGTGTGAAACACCCTGAACGTGTGTCCGCGATCATCCAATTATTATGACGATTACAAATCCTTGGCGATGGAAGTCATCTTCCATGTTCACCATAGTCCATGGAAATTTATTTGTACTGAAATCCATTTTTTATGTTTTTTTAGTATCGTAGACTAGATGTTGAATTGTTGCCCTGATCGAAGACAGGAATTATGTGTTCCCAAGAGGCACATAGGGGTTTCTAGATTTAATATCTGAACGTAGTTGGAGAAAAAAGATTCCCAAACTCGTGGTAGTTTATTATCAAGATTAATTAACTCGTGTTATTTAACTTTTAAATTGCAAAAGCACATACACATTACACACATAGGTGCATGCCCTATAATGGACTAAGCTGTTAATTGGACGTTTAACAAAATAAAACAAAACTCAAACCAAACCCTTAAATTACCTTTAGCTGTTTATACAATAGAACGTTCAACAAAATAAAACAGAACTACACCAAACAACCATGAGACCATAATAAAAACAGCTTGTGAATAGAGTTCAGAATTGTACATTTCGATTAATTGCTCAGTATCACGGGGGATCTATGAAAATAACCTTTCCACTAATAAAAGGTTATTATAGTTTTGTTATGCATAAATCTCACCTCTGCCCTGATATACAAAAATGTATCCTGGTTATAAACCGTCTGTTTTGTCCTTCTTCCACCTATGGAAATGTCACGTATATGTTTAATCAATCAATGTTACTGGGAAGTCAAACCGTCTGTTGCTAGGCACGTAATCCACGTCCGTATTGACCTAGAAATCTCCTACTCATTTCTACAAAGGATAGAATAGGCTGGATTTAGTGCATTGTAATAATCATACGATATACAACAGCGATAAAACCACTTGTACCTGGATTCATCAGTTCGGGGTATATCAAGGCCATGAAACAGTATTAAGTCTCAATGATAAACAAGAGATTCTGTAGTGTTAAACTGAGAAAAGCTTACGTATGTTTTTTGGGGTTTAATGTTCTCGCAACAGCCAGGGTCACATGACGACGGGTACCTAGGGAGACGCCGCCTTAAAACAGATAGAAGATATAAAAGAAAGACGACAGGAAAGATAGGAAACGAAAATGATCCCAAGTGTTACAATGGAGGCGCCAGATCATTTTTTTTATCTCTTCTATGTTTTCTTCGTAGGCTGAAGAAATCCCCGATCTCGTAAGGGGCCCCTTTTATGTTGTACTATTTTCTTTGGATTTCGTTTCAGTCGTCCGATAAAGTGCTAAGGTCAAATAAGTACGTGCTTCCTTGTGTGTGATAAATACTTAGTAAGGTATATCACGGACAATCTTTTTTTTTCCATTTTGTAAAATAAAACAAAATCTAGAAAAGAAAAAAGGTGTATAAGGCCCAGTAACGCAAAAGTCATATCGGGCCTGACCCCAAAAAAATCAAGGACAATTACATAATTAAATACACCAAACGAGCCGAATGGCAAAAGTATAACATTTGTAATACCTATGTTCACAGCTAAATGGTCAAATTTTATTATATAATTTCCCATACGAAATTATAGACAAATAGAAAAAAAAGAAAAAACAGCTTTTGATTAATCAATTGTACAGAGCAATGTTATTGTATCAGGCACCATATAATATTTGCATCGAATCTGCTTAATTCGGCACATTCAATCAATATGAGGCAAAGCATGAGTTCTTTACAAGCGACTATTTGATAAAAGTATGTCGAAGCAAAGATATAAACAAATTAGACAACGTTACTGCGTCACGTGACCATTTCATTCAATTGCACAAAGGACGTTGTTAGTTCATTGCTTAACGTTCAGCATTTAGTGCAATGGCAACAACTGGTTCACCCGTTGTCAGTATAATGTGTTGCCATGCTGTATTAGGTGCCTTTGGCATAGTATGTCAGTGAGATAGCCCTATAAAGTCGGCATTGGATCCGTGCCATCACAAGGATTCAAATTCACCAACATACCCTGTCTCCGGCACATATACTTATATGCATGAACACGCATTTAAACGACCTTAGCTGTTGAAAGGGAGTTATGCCCTATAAAACTAAAACCAAAAACAAAGGTCACAGACAAATATATTGTAAGTGATAAGGCGACCTTCTCTGTCCGGTTCCAAAACGTCACTCGTATGGATATCAATTTTTGACCAATGAATTGATCAGGGAAGTACAAAGATGTTACCTGGCACACAACACACATGGAGGCACACACTAAAACGACCTTATCTGTTGAAAGGGAGTTATGCCCTATAAAACTAAAACCAAAATCAAAGGTCACAGACAAATATATTGTAAGTGATAAGGCGAACTTCTCTGTCCCGTTACAAAACGTCACTCGTATGGATATCAATTTTTGACCAATGAATTGAACAGGGAAGTACAAAGATGTTACCTGGCACACAACACACATGGAGGCACAAACTTAAATAACCTTAGCTGTTGAAAGGGAGTTATGCCTTATAAAACTAAAACCAAAAAACAAAGGTCGCAGATATTTATATTGTAAGTGATAAGACGACCTTCTCTCTCCCGTTACAAAACGTCACTCGTATGAATATCATTTTTTGACCAATAAATTGCACAAGGAAGTTCATTGATCTGTTACCTGGCACACTATCACCTTCGATGTTTACACAGGATCACCTGTCCATGAGACTATAAAAGATGTAATATTCGATCGGTTCTACAGCACACATATTTTTAAAATCCTCTTGACGATGGTAACACGAAGAGTGCGCAGCTACTAAATCGGATAACGTGGCATGAAAAATAACCACAAATTATTTAATCATTTCTTGCATTAGTATATGATCCGTTATGGAAAAATAGAAGAAAAAATTAAACAAACAAACATGGCGGTATATTTGTTGCTGTGTGTGTGGTCAGTGTTGACTGTGGAGACTGTGGCGTTTAAGCCGACCATTGGTCAAGGAGATGACCCATCGATGTACACCCATGAAAGTATAACACTGGAAGGGGTCGATAGGGCGGCTGCACATTTCCTTACATCAAATGGCATTCTGAACACCACAAAGACAAACCCTCAAGAAATTGTCAAAGAATTTTTCGGATCAGGTAAGTTATTTACTAGTTATAAATCGATACTTTGATAGTTATTGCAATTTTTTTATACATATTGTAAAGAAAATGATATACTGATCCTTCTGATAACAATTAAAGTTTTATATTTTATTTTTATTTGTCTTCTTTAGGCATACAAAACAGGATAAGGTTTATTTCAATTAAGTCTCAAATTTAATGTCTATTGATATGAACTGTGTGGACATAAACCCCCAAAACATAAAATCGTATTTTCCCGTAGTAAATAACTGTAATAGAAAAAAAAAAAAATACGTTTTAAAAAAGAACTGAAATAAGGTATTATTTAGCGAATGATAACACGTTTTAACAATGTTTGAAAATTAAACAATTTTGTTTCCAGCAAGTGGGGAAATATTTTGTTTTGTGTTTTGGCATATATATCAAATATTCCTATATAAATAATGTCTTTATTGCATATACATTTAAACACTGTATCAGTGAATTGAAATCTAATGAGATTCTGAAATATAAAGAAAAAAATAATTTGTACTGAAACGATGAATTCATCTTTATGTACAAACAAGAGGCATGCCATATTTTCTGTATTTTTTTTTATTAGACCCAGCAACAGACGCATGCATAACACGACATTGATGTGCAAACTTCTTGAAAAGTTTCTGATATTAAAACAAATGTTTGAATTGAATTAAAACACATAAATATTGAAAGGATATGAAATGTATGTAATATCAGTGACATGACAATTACAATGAGGAGATGATCGATTGATCAGTTTTAAGATCATACCTTAGATATAAACATGGAAGCCTGCGTCTATCAGCTGATTTTATTAACAACCTAACATGCAGTTTATCAAATTCATTTATTCTTTGAATAAATGCGCGTTACCGTAAAATATTTTAAAGAGCTCCAATATAAATGTATGTATATCATTTACCTTATAAGTGATTCTGAAATCCTAACTCTTGTTTTGCAAAATGAATGGGTTTTTTTATGTGCCTTTTTTAATAGGATCTGATAGACATGCGCTTTCATTGTTTCTAAACAAGTGGATCAAATTTTGATAACAAAGTATAGTTAAAAATAGTGCACAATTTCTACACTGTACATAAGGTCGGCAAAATGAGTGGCACCTTTATGTTTAGTTTAAATGTTTGTCAAGTATACGTAGATTGATCACTTAATATTTCTCGCAAATTAACAGAACTCAGTGATAAATCTAGTTGTGAAAGCTAATCCATAATAAGCAGAAATATTTAAAACATTTAGTTTTGTATACAGTATAAACAACACTTTCCACGAGGAGGACACACATTCAAGAACATACAACCGACGTATGTCATCTAATGATCCTGGCTGTTGCGAGGACGTTAAACCCCAAACAAACAAACAAACAAACAAACTAAAGCCGTGTTTCGCACTGTCTATTTGCCTCTGTGTATATATTCTGTCATGTTCTTGTCCTGATAGGATGTTTTATACTGGGTCAGTTTCTGGGCACTGAAACATCCAAAACTCATCTGCTTCGCGCAAATTATAAACATATCATTATATCTATATCTAATCTTTTATAAAACCTTTCAATTATATTGCGTACCACTAGGTGTGTAATTAGTAATAATATTTATATATATTAAAGCAGTAATTAATTATTATTTACATTTCGTAACACTCAGCTGAGAGTAGACCATTTTCCGCAATGTTTTCCAAATTAAAATTTAGTGGTTTAGACTAATGTCGTGTAGATATTCGAAAATCTTTGACAAATTAACTTTATGGAAAAATGTTTTCATTCCATGAGCATGTCATTTAACATATCGTGTACTTTCTTCATACACTGCCATCCATAAATAACTCTACAAATACTTTTGTTTGTTTGTTAAAATACTTTTTTGTTGTTTAACGGTCAATCTAGAATGCGAGTCATCTAGAATCGCACAACACTGTAAAAAGAGACAAACAAAAAAAACCCCACCAAACTGAAACTAAATAGAAAAAAAATATGTAAAGGTTATAAAAACATTATCAATGTTTTAAATTAGTGCATTCAATCCTTAAGTGTTTGATTGTAAATGGTTGATCACATGCATGACAACGGGGCTGATGTTCCCACCGTAAAATGTAACCATGTGTGATGTAATTATGACTTGCGCAACCCATTCTAGGTTGATTTGTAAATAACTTTATGTTCATTTACGATTTATTTTGCCAATTTGTTTTAAAAGGATTTGATATGGAAGGTTTATAAGAATCAGGCAGTTTGAATTCTTTCGGCTGCAGGTAAGAGGCTGCAGCCCTACGAACCTTCTCATTTCTATTTATTCCGACATGACCTGGTTTCCAAATCAAGACAAATGGAAAAAAATCATGTTAATACGAAAGGCGATGTTTTGTATGAGAATGTTGTTAAAATAGCAGCGATTTTTTTTTATTTGTATGATGTCGGTTGACTAAAGAAACACCTCCTGAAATAGAAGACAGAAAGAAAGAGGAGACAGGAAAGATAAGAAAGAACAAAATATCTCAAGTGTTGCAATGGGTGCATCAGATCTATACAAAAACATAATTGTAGATTCTGTAGAATTTTACGCCAGTACCTTAATGCAGAAAATCAAATTGAATAATGCCTAGATAATTAAAATATCAGTATTTCATTCTATTTAGCGGTCATCTATAATCATTGGCATTAGTACAAAGAAAATTCACAATATGTAGATGGTTCACAAAACAGCAAAACATAATGTCTGTATTTTGTGTTGCCGCTTCGTGTACGTAAATAAATAACCGCTTGAATTCGTCTAATCATAAATCTGACGATTTGTAGACATCTTCGGATGGGAATTTAGGCATATTTAGCGTTGAGTGTGTGGTGCAAAGATGACTATTCTCACATTTTGAAATGGTTTGTTTATCAATAAAATACCGTTAAGATCGTCATATGTTAGTTTCCAATATAATGATATTTTTGGTTTTATATTATCATATACGGCAAGAGTTATTTATCCCTAATGTAGAAAAACAGTGGAAAAAAATAAGTGAATCACCAATTTTTAGATGTATAGTGAGTTATGAATGGCAATGTAGTTGCTTATTTCTCATAAATGTCAACGTATCGGTATTGATGTGGGGTCCTCCTGCAGAATAAGGAATTTCTGTTGTGTTTTGCTGACCAATGGACACTAAAGAAACCTCAATTTAGCTGCTTCCCTAATTGCAACGCATGGGCTCTGTATTTTGTTTTTACTTCTTTGCTCTTTCGTTTCGTGGTGTCGCCGTCGTCACCCGTCTCCATATGACGTTTGCTATTGGGAGAACTTTAAATAAAACTATTTGATGCGAGGAAGTTTATTTCTTAAAAGGTTGTACTTCTAAATCTTGAATGTTCCAGATACCAAAAGCTACGGGGATTACAACCAGAGAGTTCATGAGTTTTCAAAAGCCGTAATGAATGTCCATAGGACATTTCATACCAATCCGGATTACACTGTCAACTCTGAGCGAATACGTGAAGGTTGGTGGATATGTTTACATTTAAATCAGTCTGCATTTTTGATAGTGTTTTATATACCTCGTGTGTTTTTTTTATCAAAATAACTGATTGAAGTACAATTTGTATACAAAACGTAGTCTGGTTGCTCAGAATAGTGATCTGCCATAAATAACAAAATAATTAAATCAATAATACAATAAATGATCAGGCTATATTTTAAGATTGTTATGGAAATTTACAGTTAAACATTTCGTTGATAGAATCAGGTGACAGTCGATTGTTTACAATAGTAACTCTCATGATTCGGTGTTTTGTTTTCTTCTGAATATACAGCTGAAAGTCTTGTAACTACCACAAGGCTAGATATTGCTTCTATTCTGTCTCGGACGTTGAACGATACATCGTTAAAACTGCTGGTGAATAAAGTGGGGAAATGTCTGATGATTATACAGTCATTCTACAGCAACACGAACTGGATTGAGATGATGGTGAATGGTGGAGAGTCTTTCTTAAGTTTCGGTGAGCTAATTTTTTATTGGAACATTGAAAATGTTTCTCCCCTCAACAGCACTCAAAAGTACATCACGTTTTTGTTATATGTCATTTAAAACAAATAATGACCCATTGTGAATATGTATAACTTGCCTAAAATTGTCAAAATACATATTACTTTAGGAATTCCACGATAAAGGTAAAGGATGGCATGTATCGTATGGTTTAAGATACACGCATTCATTATGCGTTATTAATTGACATTTAAACGTGTGTTTATTTTTAGTTTAAGTTTTCAATATTTGCATTTGATAAAAGTAAAATAATTTGGATTCAAGTAATCGAAGGTACGCTTAAACCATTAACGACTTAAAAATCCGATAGAATCGTAAGAGAGATAAACATGATTTATTTAATATAGCTTAATCTTAAACATACTTGAACACATCTTCCCCCTAGAAATCGAATTTATCTCAATAACATTGTTTCATAATTTAGCGCCAACAAACATAACAAACATAAAAAATAGCACAATTCATTTAAGGGACAACAATGGGTTGAGTGGCCTTCCTTACATTCACCGTAAGTCTCTCCACACCAATAGGCGCATAATTAAGGCCTCCACGATTCTATCTAACCCAATCGATCTTGCGCTGCCATGTTTGCGGTGTTCCAGCTACTCCATCCTATATGGTTGCGTTCGTTATCAACCGTTCCTCGCAATATGGTATTTTGCCTCTCTCTTACTATATTTCATTCTCGTTAGTGGTGTTCATACAAAAGCTGTTGTACAGTCATTTACTCCTTCTCACCAATCCAGTTCCATCCTCTTCTCCTAATCTCACAGCTGATGTCATTTATGTTGGCTAGCTCTTTAGTTTTAGTATGTGGTGTTCGTTACTGCCATATTACTCTCAATATCCTTCTAAGAGACTGGTGTTGGAATTTCTAAGTTTCCAGGTATCGCTGCCATACAGTGATACAGGTCTAACAAGCGACTTGAACATATGTATCTTTGTCTTTCTACCAATAGTCGATTTTGGTTTCCTCAACTCTTTAGTCGCCTTCTCCGATAACAACCCAATGGGACACAGTTGGTTTATTCTTTCCTGCTCGGGTCTTGTGCCGTAGTTACGTACGCTACGTGGTACATGTTAAGTGTTTACGTTTATGTGCTTTCTTATAAATTATGTTTTGTGTTAGAGTTAAGGGTTTATTTTATCTTGCATATTTTAAATGTGATGAGCGTACTCTTTCGTATATTTTTTTAAATAGCATTACCTTATGAACCTCAGGGGGAAAATATTAATAACCATTCCTAGTGTTTATATCTCTGTCATCCCCTCGGATATGACAGACTGCACGAAAAAAGAAACAAAGCTTTGACGTTACGCGAACAATACGATATAACGTCATAATAAGCACTTGACGGGAGAGGTCATCAAAATAACAAACAGATTACGATGTTGAAAACTGTTGTTTTTAATAAAAATACTGAGAGAATAGGAGAAAAATAGTCATCCCTCAACTACCATGAGGGTGTGACAGAAACATCCTACCCTCTGGGTGATTATTTGATTTTCAAACCATTGGCAGAGACATTGTTTTTTTTTGTCACACCCTCAGGTAAGTTTGGTATGGTTTGGTCTAGCATTGTTTAACGTCATATCAACAGCTATGGTCATTAAAGGACGGTCTCCCCTGTGTGCAAGATGCATGTATATAGTGTATGCAAGTGTATTTTGGGAGACCGCGATATTTTCGTGTATGTCTCCATGTGATAGCGCGGAACTTATGCCGACTTTATAGTGATACCTCACTGAAACATAATGCCGAAGACAACAGGCAGGACACCCCAGCCGGCCACATTATACTGACAACGGGCGATACAATGGTATTATCTACGGGAGTAGATAATACCATTTTTATAGACTCTGGTATGCCAAAAGTAAGGCATTGTCAATTTAGACATTAGGAAGAGGAAAGTTGTTAAGAAAAAAAAGAAAAGGTCATATCCCAAATTAAGTCGCATCTTACGAACATGCAATGGGGGCAGCAAGTACAATCCTTACATGCAGGACCTCAAGGTAGTGAATATGTTCACGTACAAAAATCGATAGAAACTTTTATTCCTCAATAATTGTTGTAAAATCACTTACTGGTTTTTATATTTCATTTTTTTTCAAGCAAGAGGGACATCCGAAACACATTCTTTACGCATACAATTTTCAATATTTCTAGAGAATCTGTCCTTTTTTAAATTTTGACATAAATATAATGTAGGTTATTTTTTCTGTAATTAATGAGCTTTTTCATTTCTCCTTCATCCAATAATGCTGACAGTGTTTATTTTATGTGAAACAATATACTATTTTGTCATGAGAAACATACTGTTTCTTTTTTTTTTTAATTATAAAAAACAAGATTCATAACTTCATCAATTTTGAGTATATCCGTGGAAAGTTTCGTAAGATATGGATTTCATTTCGGTAATGCAAATTTATCGACAGTGGGACGGGAATTCTTAAGTTAAACTGGTTCGAGTTTACCTTGTGATAGAGATAATATGTCATCGACCCACCAGTATAAATGTACTGGTACGTCGAATGAAGTGCTTGCATTTAATTTAATTATTATTGTATATTGTGTGTTGTGGCATTTCTAATCGTTTTCTTTTCATCGAACATCAAATCTATACTCTGATGTTTTTTGTCGGACATGTGTCATACGGTTTAAATATTGCCATACGTTTGAATTAATGCCATACGTTTGAACTAATGCCATACGTTTGATTTAATGCCATACGTTTGAATTAATGCCATATGATTGAATTAATGCCATGCGTTTGAATTAATGCCAAACGCTTGAATTAATGCCATACGTTTGAATAAATGCCATACGTTTGAATTAAGTAACTGTTAAACGGTGAACGGAACATTGTTAGGATTTAATGGTGTTGGGACTAGGCAATATAATCAAGTTAAAAAGGCATTCATCTCACCAATATTTTACACATTGGGGTTAAAAATAAAGGGGAAAGGCCTTAATTGGACGATCTATTAAAGTACAGGGGTGTATTTGACATATGGTAGTATGTTTCATAAGATGACATTATTAAAGGAATGAATGTTTTATCAAATGTTGTTATGGTCCTATAGCACACATTGCTATTGATGAAAAACTTGATAAAGGCCAGTAAGCAAATGAAAATATTAACATGAATATATCTTTCTCTTCTTTCCTTGACAAGGAACCCTCACCTCCACCGGTATGGTGGTTGCCGCATCAGGAACAGACACATGCCGCAACTGTGACGACAGCATCGCTCAGTAAGTTTTGTGTGAACGATTTTACGTCTCTTGCGTTTTTATTTCAAAGACCTCGCCATACTTTTATAAACAGAAAATACGTGTCGCAAAATATACATCGGCTTTCATTATTCCATGATCGACCATACAGCTTTGCTTAAGTCTCTTGTGACGTGTGCCTCCCGTTTTCCTTTTCAAGATTGCAGTAAATTCTGTCATAGGCGTAAACACTATTTGCTGTCTTTCATCCAAGTGACAAGCAACTCCTGTGATAACGGTGCTGATTTTCAATTAGAAGCCCTCAACTCTCCAGCGTTTGAAAAGCCTTTTTACTCGGATTTAAACTTTAAAAGAATAACAGAATAACAAACATCAATCGCCACCTGTATCGATTTCTACCTGACGGTATATCAGTTAAAGTCCATATCACAAATGTAATACGAGAAAGAAGAGCTGGTGCTGAAAAACAGTTTGTAAGATTTGCATAAAAAGTTATATTTTTTGTGAAAATCTGAACCAAATCAAAATTCCTGGAATGAGAGACCGACAAATATGTTTTAACAGTACCACGCCAAAACCGGTGTATCTATCATACGCACAAGAAACATATATCCTTCCTGAGTATCCGGATTAGTTTTGGTTTATAATGCTCTTCCATGTTTTTGATGTCCCTTTTCTGCCTTCTGTATCTCACAATATGTCGTAAAAAGCGATTCATGTCGGCCCCCTGTATACCCGGGGGCTTTCTTCAGTGTCTTCAGACGAGGGTAATTTCAGCATTTATAATTATCGCAACAACTAGTTTTCCCGTTGTCACTATAATGTAACCGGATGGAAGTCTTTGCGAGGTGCCTTTGGCATGGTGTTTAGGTAAGGTATCACTTTAAAATCGGTATCAATATAACTATATAAAACACTATGTAGAAAATAAATCTAAACTATATATCACGATTTAGAATCGAAACAATTGACATTTATGACGCGGTAGAAAAACACTAAAACATGAGATAATTTAACGTCAAATCAGACTTTCTTTTTCATTATCTTTGAAGTCGCTGTAGCCAAAACCTGTTGGTCCATGATCGTTTGACAAGTGGATACCTGTCTGGTCAGCAGTTCTATCCGAAACCATCAGGTGAGTTCGGGTATTGTGCATTTATGTATTACCGATAAACGCAACAACAAAAATCTGTCATGTGTTATTAATATATATCATGTAGAAATATTATTCTAATCAAGCTTAACGATCACTCAACACAGGAGAGGTCATTAGGGCCAATAAATGATCGCGAATGACAAACGTAAAATGAAAGTGATACAAAACAAACGTAAAGATAAAAGACAAACCTCGATTTGAATACCTAAAGAACTGTGGGCGTTAAGAGTCATTTTCATAATTAAATGCGTGAATATCGTTTGTTGTGCGCTATTTGGTTGAAACTTGGCCATTTGAAGGAAATTAGCTAAAAAACTTTTATCTTTAAAAGCCTCCACATGCAACAAACAAATGAATATTTGACATGTTTAAAAAATTTCATACCTGTGTTCATTCGTAGAAAGGAATTTTTGTTTATCACATACGAAGGCTTTTATTTCTGCATGCTAACTGTCCAAAAAAAAACGTATTTTGACTATTTCTGCATAACACGCAATTTCGTTGCTATGGCAGGGAATCTACGTATGCGCATTGTAAAGAATCTTCACCAAGAAAGATAGTCCTTATTAACCAATATGATGTTTATAAAAGAAATTAATAATTTAATTCAAATTTTCAGCGGTCTTTCATCAAAACAAAATGATCGCAAATTTATAACTGCATCATCACAACTATATAATGTCAATAAAAATTATCATAATTTCATGATGACTGGGCATGTACGAAATGCGTAATTACTGTCCAAAAACACCATAGCATGGCTATTTCTGCTTAGCAAGGTAATTCCGTTGCTATGATATGGAATTTACTCATGTTCATAGGAAAAATATGCATCAAGATAGATAGCCTAAATTAACTATTACGATGTTTAAAACAGAAATTGGTAAATAAGTTCAAGTTGAAATTTTTACTTTTTATGAGGCCTTTGCTATAGTGTGATGTCTGTTGAGAAATGTAGAGACAGCTTTTTTTTCGAAAAGAAATTTAAAACATTGAATCTTATTAAAGAAATGTTCTTGAGTTGAATGATTTGTTTGTTTGTTTGTTTGATTTTGTTTAACGTCCTATTAACAGCTAAGGTCATTTAAGGACGGCCTCCCCTGTGTGCAAGATGCATGCGTGTAGTGTATGTGTGTGTATTTTGGGAGGCTGCGATATGTTCGTGTTTGTCTCCTTGTGATAGCGCGGAACTGATGCCGACTTTATAGTGCTACCTCACTGA